TACTCATTAACTGTTTTCAGAGCAAAGATATATCTCTTTCAAAAGTGGCTATAAAATTTCTAGGTTCACTGTTGAATCAATACAGTTATACAATACTGAACTCAGTATAAGCCCTGTAAGACATTAAAATTGAATGAGTTTTTAACTCTCAAAAGAGATCTCCATTTCATTCTAAAATATACTGTTTCTTACAGAAAGACTCATTGTTTTTGCTCATAACATTGAGAAGTTGGTGCGTGCGTCTCTAATCTGTATGTATCTGATTATTACTAGTCATAATTGTTTGCACTCGTATCCTTGGTGCCTGTGTATGTTTATAAAGTCATCGGGTAGATTTCCGTGGTAATGTTCATCACCTCTACTAATTTAACATGACGTAAACTTTTATGCTTCCTCCTCAAATACAATACATTCTTCCCAATTTGTTGATTGATTTTTTTTTCTGTGTGTATATCACACAGAACATCCCAAACCATCTTATTCAACTATACACCCACTTCCCAGATGGCACCCTCCCATAGCCTCCCTCCCCCCACTAGAGCCCTTATACACTGTTATCCCTGCTATTGTCTGCTGTGTTGTCAGCACCCGCAGCCTTTCCCCACTACCTGTCCATCTGGTGAATCTAGTCAGCCTATCTAGAGGTCTTTGTTTTAAGGTCAGCTGTTCCTCATCTAGCAGCAATCAGTTGTCAATATTCCTTTAGATAAGATTGGGATCTGCTGTTTATTTTCCCAGTTCTATGCTGGGTTACTATCTGGGAGTCCCTTTGGCCACCCTGGCCAACAACTCAAAAGAATGCCAGATCTCCTATCTGGCTGTGTTGCTTGTTAATGTAGCCTTTAGGTATACATATGGACTCTTAAAAAATTATATTGGCCCCTTTAATCTTTGGTTGTACTTTCCTTTGGGGTGTTTAAGGCCATACAGTTGGCCCAGATAAACCCATTTATTTTTACTCTTAAAGTCGTTTGAGGATCTGTTCCTCAGGGGACACATGGGCTTGGGAGGAGCCCCTGGCTCCTTTCTTTTACCAGTTCCGCCTGTGTGAAGATAAGTCAAAGGTCCTGCTCGATCATGGCTGGCTTTGTTTGGAAGTATGGAGGGAATGTTTCCTTTGCATTGACCCTCCTTTTTGTAGACTGGATACTGGTTCATGTCCATCTTCTGGGGTCTCCATGGCCTCCTTGATCAAGAGGACAGGTGACCGACTTTTTCGGAGATGCTCATAGTCCCCTGGAACTAGCCGATCTAGGAGGGCAAGGAGCAAAAACTGTCCTTTATGTCCCTCTGATCAAATTAGTATAGGCCTCAAAGTATGTCTGTTAAACATCCAAGAAGGTTAGTTCCACCAATTTGGTACTTTTAATTACTACAAAGAATCAACGAATCCAAGAGCTGGTTCTTTGGAAAGATAAACAAGATTGACAGACCACTAGCCCAGTTAACCAAAAGAAAGAAAGAGCACCTCCAAATCAACAAAATCAGGGATGAAAGGGGAAACATCACAAAGGACACCAGAAAGATACAGAATATTATAATGGAATACTTTTAAAAATCTATATGCTACTAAATATGAAAACCTAAAAGAAATGGACAGATATCTAAAGGCATGGGAACCACCAGAACTAAACCAAGAAGAGATTAACAGCTTAAACAGAACCATAACACAAAAAGAAATTGAATCAGTAATACAAAACCTCCCAAGTAAAAAAAGCCCGGCACCAGATGGATTTACAGCAGAGTTCTATCGGACATTTAAAGAAGATCTACATCCAGTACTACTTAGTTTATTCAAAGAGATAGAAATGGAGGGAGAACTTCCAAATTCCTTCTACAATGCCAGCATCACTCTAATACTAAAGCCAGGTAAAGATACAACCAAAAAAGAAAACTACAGACCCATATCCTTAATGAACATAAATGCAAAAATTCTCAACAAGATAGTTGCAAACTGCATATAGACACACATCAAAAGATCATCCACTATGATCAAGTCAGCTTTATCCCACAGATGCAGGGATGGTTCAATAATATAAATTATATAAATTGGCTCAAAGACAAGAAACACACAGTCATCTCAATAAATGCAGAGAAGGCCTTTGACAAAATTCAACATGCGTTTATGTTCAAAGTCCTAGAGGGAATTGGACTGGAGGGAACATACCTCAACATAATTAAAGCCATATATAACAAACCCACAGCCAACGTCATTCTAAATGGAGAAAAACTGGAAACATTCCCATTGAAATCAGGCACCAGACAAGGCTGTCCACTATCTCCACTTCTCTCTAACATAGCAGTTGAAACTCTTGCAAGAGCAATAAGACAAGAGCAGGAAATTAAAGGAGCAATAACTGCAAAAGGAGAGATCAAATTATCCATTTTGCAGATGATATATTTAAGAGATGCTGAAAATTCCACCAGACAACTCCTAGAAATTATTAACACATTCAGTAAAGTTGCAGGTTACAAAATTAACCTACAAAAGTTTGTAGCCTTTCTATAGACCAATAGCAAGCAATCAAAGAAAGAGCACGTGGAAACACTCCCCTTCACAATAGCTGCAAAAAATAAAATATCTTGGAATAAACCTGACCAAAGACATTAAGGACCTCTACAGTGAAAATTTTAATTCTTTGAAGAAAGAGACTGAGGAAGACATCAGAAGGTGGAAGGACCTCCCATGCTCATGGATTGGAAGAATTAATATTGTGAAAATGACCATCCTACCAAAAGCCATTTATAAATTCAGTGCAATGCCAATCAAAATTCCCATGACATTTTTCAGGGAATTGGAAAAAAACATCGTAAGATTCATATGGAAGCATAAAAGATCTCGGATAGCCAAAGCAACCCTGGCACTAAGAGCAATGCTGGGGGGTATCACTATACCAGATTTTAAGCTGTATTACAGAGCTGTAGTCATAAAAACAACATGGTACTGGCACAAAAATAAACCCATAGATTAATGGAACAAAATTGAAGACCCAAATATGAATACATGTAGTTTCAGCCACCTTATATTTGACAAAGGGGCCAGGAACATTCACTGGAGGACAGATGCACGTTCAGCAAATGGTGCTGGCAAAAGTGGATCTCCACCTATAGAAGAATGAAACTAAACCCCTATCTTTCACCTTGCACGAAAGTCAGTTCCAAGTGGCTCAAAGACCTCAATGTGAAGCCTGAAACTCTGGAACTGTTAGAAGAAAACATTGGCAAAAGCCCACAAGATATAGGTGTAGGAAAGTATTTTCTAAATCACACATCTATTGCTCAGGAAACAAGGTCAAGAATCAACAAATAGGACCTCGTTAAACTAAAAATCTGTACATCAAAGGAGGCAACCAGGGAAGTGAAGAGAAAACGCACAGAATAGGAGAAAACCTTCACCAGCGACACATCTGACAGAGGTTTAATATCCAGAATATATAATGAAATCAAAAAACAGAATCAAGGCAGGAAGTAACCCAATTAAAAGATGGGCTAAAGAGCTGAACAGAGAGTTCTCAAAAGAAGAAGTAAAGATGGCTGTGACGCATCTTAAAAGATGTTTAGAT